ACCATCTCGGGAGATCTTTCAAACATTACTGCACCGCCGTTCGTACTAGCCGAGAACTCGACAGTTGAGATACCACAGTACTGGGCGGACCATCCATATCTCTGGGCTGCACCGGCGTTGGAAGAGGACCCTGAGAAACGCGCGTTGCTTGTGCTCAAGAACTTCCTAGGCTCGTTACGAGGACAGCAATATGCGGGGCGGAATGAGGAAGATGGCGTCAAGAAGCCGTTGAACGCTTTTCTCGGCGAGCTGTTCATCGGAAGCTGGAATACTGAGGAGCTGGGCGAGACGCGACTAATCTCCGAGCAAGTCGGCCACCATCCACCTGTAACGGCGTGCTATTTGTGGAACGATCAAGTTGGGATCCGGGCGGAGGGGTTTACGGAGCAAGAAATCACATTTTCTGGAAACGTCAGTATCAAACAGAAGGGATACGCCATAGTACATGTCGACAAGTACGACGAAGATTACCTCCTTCCACTGCCGAACATTAAGGTCAAGGGTCTCTTAGGCGGGGTTCCACATCCGGAGTTGTACGGCGAATATTCTCTCATCTCATCCAACGGATACATATCGCATATCAAATTCGAAGGCAAATCTTTATTCGGCTCAGGGCACAAAAATGGATTCCACGCAAGATTTTTCCACGCAGACAAGCCTGGTGAGACCATCTACGAAATCGAGGGAGCGTGGAACAGCACATTTACCATCAAGGACGCGCGGAACGGTTCCGAGGTGGAGACCTTCGACGTCAGAACCATCAAGCACAAACCCATGGCTGTGCCCGACCTCTCAGAACAAGACCCATGGGAGAGTCGCAAAGCATGGAGCGATGTTATATCATCCCTGCACAAAGGCGACATGAAGGGCGTTTCAACTGCGAAAAATGTAGTCGAAAATGGGCAAAGGCAGATGCGGAAAGACGAAGAAGCGAAGGGCGAGGAGTTTCAACACGTCTTCTTCAAAACAGTACCCAACGACCCGATCTTCGATAGATTAGTAAAGCATGACCCGCAAGCTTACACTGTCGATCCGTCAGGCGGCATTTGGAAAGTCGACAAGGAAGCCGCGAAGCAGCGACAGCGCCCGTTCCACGGCAACCTCACACCATCAAACGAAAGGGTGGGTGGAGCGCAAACGCAGGGGCGGACGCAAGAGGGCAGACAATCAATAAATGACCAAGATCAGCAACGCAGTGGGGCTGCTGGCGCAGTGGGCACGGCAGCGACGTCTAACGGCTCTGCACCGGATGGGCCGGTTCAGAAGGTCGGCGACGTGAGCCCACGTGCCGACCAACGTCCAGATTCGGCAGTGGGGAGCAAAGGGGAGTCCCGCAGTCAACCGGCCAATGTGACAGAAGTAAGTGATGAGATGGTTGAGAATTTCCTGAGGGCGAAAACGAGTAATGTACAGTAAGCGGTGATTGTGAAACTTGGAGTTGATCATGCGCTAGAGTTTGACCTGGATTATGTAGTTTTGGATACTTAGATCCCTTTAGTCAAAACGCTCTAAGGTTACATACACCGCCAACGAATCTCGCTTCAACTTGCATGCATGGGTGAGGGGCGAGCATCGTACACGAGCTCTATACCACGCGAGGATTCAAGACATCCCTAAGGCAGCTGTGACGTATACAAATCTGATGTGTTATATCCTTTTTTTGTATTGTTTTGACTGGCTCGCGCCGCCATGAGGATGGTATCATGAATCTAAATTAGCTAATAACAAAGTCGTCCGTATCGTTCACTGTCCACTCCAGTTGCCTCCATTTCTACCGCCTCTCGTTCTTCTGGTTAATGTGCGTCTCCATTGTGATTTCTCCAACTCTGCATTCCTCATCAGACACCTTCCCACCGCCCTTTATTCTCCAAGTGTTGAACACCTTGTCGCTCTTCTCGTTTTCCGCGGATAGATCATCGCGGAGCCGTACTGGCTGAAGGTTGCCCATGCCGTAGTCCTGGTCGATCTCCGACTTCGTAGACACACCCTTTTCAGTCTTCAGCAGAGACATTGTCATGCTGAAGAGGCTGGGCTTCTTTTTCGATTCTCTGTTCGGGTCGTTGACCCATTGTGGTGTTCGCATGTTCGAAGGACGTGACGGGCCGAAGGAGGAGTTGCTGAATCCGAATTTCTCAGAAACTTGTCGCCAGAGGGGACGGAGAGTAGCGAGGGAACCAGCCGTGATGGCGAGACCCTGTTCGATGTCCGACCAGATTGCGATATCAACAGTGGCCCAGAGGAAGTCGGGGTTCTTGAAATCCATAACGTAACCCATGCGCACACAGACTGCGACACTAGCACTGCAAGATTGTTAGGAATCGTATGATGAAGTGATGACAAGTAAACTTACACGCAGGCCATCCCGAGAATAGGAATCAAAAGGACCCTGGTCTTGACGGACATGTTCAAGCCCCAAATCAGGAAGAAGGGTAGAATAGCAAACGTGAAGTCGCTAATGACCGAGATTGCGCTGTACAGGAACGTAAGACCGATGATGACGTCTACGTTGATGCATGTCCCTGCTGGGTTGTTCTTGTCCCAGAAGAAGCTGATCGGGTGGCATTGGAAGAGGGTGACGAAGAAGAAGACGAGGCCGCACAGCACCGTGAGGCCCATCGCAGCGTAAATGATGTACCTGAATGAGGCGTATGATGTCAGTTACTGAATCTTACGGAACTAACGCAAAGGCATGGCTTACTTGTGCAGTTTCTTAACAGTGACACGGAGAAGGAACAGGCCAATGGACATCTTTGACGTAATCATCGCCCAGCAGTACGCGATGTAGCAAAGCCACCAGTACTATACAGACTGTTAGAATTGAGATCGAGACAAGTTCAAAGGTTCGCACGTACCCTCATTGCTTTGTACTGTTGCTCACTTGAAAGTGTGTCCATATGGCGTCCAGTGCCATAGTGGATACCGCCAATTGCGCAAGTAGCAAACATAACATGAGCACACAATGCGGCCACCATCCACCAGTCGTCTGCTCCGAAAGCTTTAACGATACGGGCTCGTACGTAAACTCGCAGGACAGTGGTAATGAACGCTAGCGAGACGAACGTTGAGCACACCTGCGGATGTCAGTCAATGGTCTCCACTTCCTTCAGCGTCTTTGAACATACCGCCTGCAGTTCAGGTCCTCGGTTCGCAAGTTCGTGCCTTGAAGCCATGGTGAAGGCGTGAATTCGGGCAAATCTGGTTCACCCCCAGGTTCTGAAGAATCCGGCGGGTTTTGGCTCCATATACCTCGTACCCGGGCCCTTGGGTACCAGCCAGGTTCAGTCAGCCCACAGTCAAGCGAGTCTCGATTCGACGGGTGCCCAGGGGAAGGGCGGCTCGTGGGCCTGCCCTGTGCTACTGAATCAGGAATGGCAAACACCGCCGGCATGTCAGAGCAGGGTCCGCTTGCACGCCATGCTGATCAACGCCCAGACGTTGCGATAGGACATCAGGGATGTTGTGGCGATTATTCCCGCGGCTTCGCAGCTGCTGTTCTGGGAGTTCTCCTACCACGTTATCCGCCTGAATCATAGACGATCATAATTTGTTGATGGAGAACTGCGGCTCGTGAAGCTCCCGCAATCTAGACTACCCGCGCACAATTAACGTCGACGGACTGCGTTCCGACAATCAAGTGCCCGCTTTGGCTGCAGACGTCAGAGTTTTCGGTGCTCAAGTTCCCGTGTTCAAGTTCCCGTGTGTGCAAGCCTGTGGATCCGCTCTGGTCCCACAGGCTGACCTCGATGTTGATTTCTAACATTGGTGAATGCCGGTTAAATGCCAAGCGTCAATGTCGCGTGGCCCAGGAACAGGAGGGATCCGCGTTTTCCTCAGGGACGATAGTCAACGCATGTGTACATGCGCAGGTGCATACTAGACGTGACTCTGTTGGGGATGAAATTTCCGGCGGGGCGTGCTAAGCGAGGCGATCTAGCACGATCTTGGTAAGACACGTGGAAGCTACAGGGTAGCGGACGACGTCGGCGACCGTTAGCGGCAGATCGTGAAACTGGGCTTCCAGATACCGAGGCATGACTGGGTGATGATTGGGAGATAGGACACGACTCATCAGCAATGCATACCAAGGCACTTAGAGACGGCTTGTTCAGTAGCGGAACTGTCACTCGGGTCAGCATTAACCCTTTGAAGGTGACGGAGGCGACTCCGAAACAGTACGTAAGGCTGTTGACATCTGATCGAAAGGGGAACGCCCAAGGAATGATACGAGCGATGAACCACGAGTCGTACTGACATCGTTGACAGATTCGGACAGATCAGTCCGATATGGAAACGAGCTGCATCTATCCGCTCGAAAAGACATCAACACGGACGATGCTGGCCAGCCATCCTTGTGTCTTTCACACCGCAGCACCTCTCTGCACCCAGATGGAAGATCGTCCTCATAATCAGCCGGAGGATTTTGTTGGCCAAGTGGACACGGAGAACACGGCATGAAGCCTAACTGGCTAGGAACCATAGGCGTTCAACGACGATCGCATCCTAACGTGATATTTCGGGTCATCACGAACTGCCCGGCCCTCTACGAGTTCCCACTACTCAGCATTGCGTCGACAGTAGCAGCTCGCGTTAACACTAACATCAGCTACAGCAAGTGCTATCCTGAGTTGCTGCCCAATGATTCCCGCTTCGTCTTTTCGACCCAAGGTTATCAAACTCTCATGGTAGCCGCGCAGGGCCCATACGTTGTTCGGATGTTGCCTTGCCCGCGGTAGCGTGTCATCGAACCCAAGGTCTGCTTTATAGGCCGCTGCCGCATCTTCTATTCGGCCCTGCTCCAACAACAGAGCGGCATAGGCGTGTCGTGTCGGCTGCATCCAGGGCCATGGCTCGGCGTACACCAGATCGTCGTCACGCTGGATGGCTGTTTCAAGATGTCTGAAAGCTTCCTCGTAGTTGCCTTTGCGGTACTCAAGTTCGCCGTCCAACATTGCTATCCCAACTTGAAGGACGATATTAGACCTGCATGGGTTAGTATGCCCTTATAGCCCGCCCTTCCGGATAGTTTGACTGTATGCACCGTACCTGTTTGGAAAATCCCCACATATCCGAGATGCTGGAATACGTTCAACTGCTTCGACCAGAGCGTCGCGTTCCTTCTGTGCCTTCACGATGTCGCCAGTAACGGCATACGCAATACCTTTGCCATAATGCGTCATAGCCGTTGTCACACAGTGAAGATCTCTATCCGATGGCATCTCGAGTGCGATGAGATCTTGCCATTGCCCGAAGCGAACCAGGACATGTACACGAACTGATGCAAAGTTCTCCAGCCAGTCTGCCATGGGCGGACTTTCGATGCGCAGAAGCGAGACAGGCAGTGAGGCTTCCATGCGGTCGACCGCATCTAGCGCAACCTTCAGTTGCCCCGCAAACATCGCTGCGTATACGAGCGAGTGATAGTTGTGCATCATGTAAAATGAGTAGAAGTTTTGTGCACCATGCTCGGAGACATACTTCTCATCTGCAAGGCAGGCTTGGGTGTTAGCGTCTATGGCACGTCGATAGTCGCCAACAAGGATGTCCAGATGGGACGGCATATGTCTATAGGTCTCTAGAGTTAGTATGTGCCTTACGGAGGCTTCTTGCATGCACTTACAGCAAATGTCCTCCGTCGGGGGTAAGATGTCTTAGCTGATCTGCACAGATAAGAGCTACTTCAGGCGTTGCTGACATCTCCATCAAATGAATGTAAAGGTGGAGAACTCCTGGGTGCAAATGTGAGCCGTCTTGCTGTAAAGCCTTTTCGAGCACGGTCTTCGCCTCTAAAGAGCGAGCACCTGGCGTCGGTTGGCCGGTCTTGAGATCCCATAGATTCCATGCCGAGAGACAGACAAGAGAGTCTGCGTAGAGAGACGCCACGTCAAGGTCGTCAGAGAAACGCTCGTAAACACCCTCCATAGCTTTGGCATACTCTTCATTACATGCTTGGAACGCAGCTTCATCTAGACCTTTCGGCACGCGCACTTGAACGGCGTCGATCAGGGCTCTTTCCAGATCCGACGCACTGGATGCGTGTAGTTCGGCCTTTTCGTTCGCTTCATTTATCTTTCCTAGTGTGGCCTTGAGTTCTTTCTCGTCAAACAAGTCCCAAGGCTTGTTGTAGTTCGGCCCGAGGGCGAACGCGAGCTGCGCCGATCAGCTGGGTTTACAAGACATCCCTGGGAGACCCTACACCCCAATAAGCTATCGCGCAATTCGAGTCTTCGCTGATAGCTCGTTCAAAGCATCGGGCTGACTCCTCATGGTGAAAGGCGTAGCACCAGACCAAACCGCGATCGAACCATGTTTGCGAATTTGGGCTGGAAGTGCTAATCTTGCGATGGTAAGAACCCAGATCGTACTGGTAGGAAGTTGAGTCGCGCATCGTGGTTATCGCTGGGTAGGTGTATGAAAGGCGGGAAGCCGACGGGTCGGCCGGAGGTGGGGCCCGGGTGGGGGCTTTCTTTAGCTTCTCTGCCAAGGCTCAATCGGATCTACCCCTCTAAAGAGGTATCGTATCCTACGATCTGAACTATGAGCCATGGACAGCCTATAGAATTCATTTAGTAAGAGAAAGGCATGTGATACCGAAAAGAACATGGTTTATCATGTGTATATGGTGCGTCTAGCTTTTGTGACAACGCAGAAGCCTCCTGAGGTCTTCCGATTTCCCGCGGGGATGGCCCCCAAACCAAACACCACTCGCAGGCCACTGCCATCGCATCAACACCCGGCCTGCCGTGATCAAGCAATCGCTGACCGATGGAATTTCTCTTGCTTTTTGTGTGACCACCTCACTATCCGGGCAACTATTAATATAAGTTTCTTCGAATTGGCCCCAATGTTGTACGCGTGCTGCTATCTATAGCGCCTGAAACTTCCCTCATGGCTTCAAACAGGTGGGATCACGTAGATATCCGCGCTGTGTTTACTCGGAAAGCTCTTATTTGGTCGCCGACGCACATTGTGGCAATTGCGATCATGTTCGACCTTATTTATACATTGGCGCAGCGCCGTGAGGGGAGCGTGAAAAAGGGAGCGGCGAGGCAGTGTAAGCCCCGCGGGAAAGCGTGCTTATCTCGTCCCGACCGTTTCCCTTCCAACATACGTACCTCTCCGTCCAAAACCAAGTTTTCGACGAGCGCTCTTCAAATTCATTTCTTCTACTGTAGATACACATAATGCGCAAGTTCCATTCCCGTCAGCCTTTTAGTGGGTGCACATTACGATACACTGGAAGGAGGTGGATAATTGGGGCCAGAAGTTGCCCTTGCCGTTCGTGCATGTTGTGAGGTCACACGGCTGAGGTTGGCACCACTGGTGGTCCAACAAGAAACTCTCATCGAGAGCCCCATGGGTGTGGCTGACTAGACCTGGGGCGCTTTCTACGTTGTTGTAGTTTCAGCTCACTCAGCCATTTGTAGCAGCCTTCCGCTCCATAATCGTCTGGATGCAATTCACCTTTCTCACTCACTAAATACTGAGACTCTAGTGCACGCACGAAATCCGACATGAACGACGGAAGATCGATATCCCCCCAATTTAGTCGGTCGTCTGCAACTTCGACAGGACGGATCGGCTCTTCACGACGACCTATGTCATTCCCAGCAGCAACCCATAGTTTCGCAGACGATGTGGATGCTTCTGAAGAGCCTCTGGTACACTCCAACTCTACACATCATCTCAATAACGACCACCCCGCCGAGCGAGCAGCTGCAGTCTCGACTCACAGCCCGGATGTCGTAAGTCTTGAGAAAGCAAGCAGAACGTCTTATCGACTTCGCAAGACCCTGCTCTCATGGATTTTCGAGATTTTCGCATTGATTGCAAGCATTGCCTCGATCGCCGCGATAGTCATCATCCTCGTTGGCCAAAATAACAAGCCGATCACAGCTTGGACGTTCATCTTCACGCTCAACACATGGGTTGCCGCTCTCGGCACGGTAGCAAGAACTACTCTGGCTTTTGCTATGAGTGCCTGCGTTGGACAGCAGAAATGGAGCTGGCTTCGTCGAAGATCAGATTCCGTGAAGGCTTTTGAAAGATTCGACGAAGCAAGTCGAGGACCCTGGGGCGGGTCTCGTCTCTTCATTTGGTTACGTTTCAGGTGAAGACATCTAGTAGCATTGATTCGTATCACAGAACTGATTTAGCTGCAGACATTGGGCAGCGTTGGGTGCTCTAGTCACCGTAGGTATGTCACACACGGTCGACCCACACCACTTTTGGTAGCAAGCTTACAGCACTTCACTGTATCTACGTTGGCACTTGTTAACGTGAGACGCTGCATAATACATCAGAAATAAGCTGACATGACTGCGCTTGTGTAGGTACAGTCGCATTCGACCCCTTTTTCCAGGCGGTCATCTCGACTTACGGAAACCTCGATGACATAGCGGTAGGATCCAACGCTGTCGATATCGAGTCGTTCTCTAACGCTACCATCGGTCGAGCTTTGAGAGTCGACGGTGGACACGTAATCGAGAATCCGGGCGGACCCTTAGGTGCTAGCAGAACGCCGTCTGGTCTTTTGCAATACACGTACACTGAGAGTCGGCCAGACTTTGGTATCGTCAGCTCTGTCAATGCAGGGTTCTATAATGCATCCACGAACACCCCCAGCACTGTCGCCTTTACTTGCGCTACTGGTAACTGTACCTGGCCAGCTTTCGTCTCGGCGGCTGTGTGCAGTTCTTGCAAGGATGTCTCTGATACGCTCGTGTTCAATGGGTCGCGAGGATCGAATGGGACGACTATCCCGGGCGCGACAAATCTTTATTTCGAAGGGTAAGTATCCCCGTACGAACTGCATGTGATACATATACTGACTTTGTGAATCCGAATCTAGACCGTACTCCGTTTTCTCCTTACCAGAGACTGAGATAAAGAACTTTAACGGGTTGTCGAAAGTAGACGACATCGATTGGTATAAGTATACTAGCGGCGCTGGAACAGGGACTCCCCTAACCTTTATGACGGTAAAGACTGGATCCACTGCACGCCAAACCCTGAAACATTCTGATGTGCAGACTCTGATGATGAGCTTCAAAATCATCAAAGCTGCTGATGACTGGGTTAAATCGAAAGTACCATGGGAGTCGTCACGTCCTGTCGCAACAGAATGCGCGTTGTATTTCTGTTCGAACATCTACCAAGCCAGTAGTAAGAACGGTCTAGTCGAAGAGAACGTCATCGGGTCTTGGGCTGTTCGAGACCCTGACTCACACAAGATATACAAAACCATCAATTCTCTGGACTCGGAAGACGAAAGGTACATTGATAGCACCGGGTACGACCTATACAACCCTAAGATAGATTTCCCGAGACATGACCTTCGGCTTCTCATCCCTCCCCAACAGGCAGGCGGCTTCTCTCCAATGGCGGCGCAAGAGGTGAACATATCTCACGCGCTTCTTCGAAGTACCATCGACTATCTCCACGTCTTCACGAGCTATGCTGTAAAATACAATGGCTACGAACCACCCTCTTTGATCGCCTTTCCGGATAGAGACGCACCGACTTTCGTGGACGCGTTATGGAACTCAACAAACCTGACCACAACATTCGAGAATGTGGCCCGTAGTCTCACAAACCAGATGCGCAATACCTCCCCCGATCGACTTGAGGGCGTCACACAACGCTGGGTCACGCACGTGCGTGTCGACTGGGCATACATGGCGTTTCCCGTCGCAATGCTCTCGATAGGAATCCTATACGTGATCCTCGTTATAATTGAGTCTGCACGATTGAGAATACCGGTATGGAAGGAGAGCGCGCTTCCCACATTGACGTATGGATTCAACAACGAGACACAACGGCTGCTGAGGGAGAGGGCGCACTACAAAGGAGATAAGAAGGTTAAGACAAGTGTGAGGTACGACCTGGATGAACAGGATGACTGTTTGAGATTGATGGCCGATTAGAAAATGGCTGTCTGATACTCTTCGGACGCGTCGATGTTTGGACAGGTACGATGGGTTTAGCGCCCGGGCGTTCTGGAATGGGAAAGCTCCAAATTCTTCAGGGCGGCAGTTTTGGAAGGAAGTCGCGTTCGCATGATAATGACATCAATGCACAAGAGCTTCGATGTTTCATCCCTTTTACTAGCTGTCAGTGAACGCGTGAGGTTCGTGTCTAACCCAAGTTGCACGCGATGGGGTGGCTGGTCGATAATCGCGCTAGCATCTAGTTACGTCACCCCACTTCGTTCCGATCGTGAGAGGACTCATTCCGAGCACTGCATCGCTCAGATCACGCCACGAAGTGAGTCAACGTATCAAACCTCCACCACAGCTTGAAGTGACCAATGCTCGCATCCAGGTGTACAAGCATCCTCAACAGATATTCGAGAACCGTCCCAACTACGAGTTCCATACGCTACTTCGCATCACCCTTCTTTGCACAACATCCTCAACACCGACCAAAAAGCATGCTGCACTCGGCCACCGAGTCAGCGAAGAAAATCTTCGCACCAACAAGCAACTCCGACGACCCCGGCCATGCAACCCAATACAACAAAGGTGCACTAGACCGCGAGGACCTCCTTCCCTCGCCAACCGACCAATTCCACAAGTGGTTCCAGGAAGCGCAAGCCAACAACGTATATCAGCCCGAAACCGTCGTTTTATCCACCGCAGAACTACCCAGTGGCAGAGTCTCAGCACGCACACTCTACATGAAAGAGCTGGACGAGCGCGGCTTTGTCATCTACTCAAACTTCGATACAAGTCGCAAGGCTAGCGACATACGAAGCAATCCTCACGCGGCGTTGACTTTCCACTGGCGCGAACTGGAGCGTCAAATTCGTGTCGAAGGAACGGTAGAGAGGCTTACGAATGAGGAGTCGCAGGTTTACTACGATACGAGGATTCGCGGTTCAAGGATTGGCGCGTGGGCAAGTCAGCAGAGTAGTGTGATTGAGAGTAGGGAGCAGCTAGAGAAGAGAGTAGAGGATGTGGAGAAGAGGTTCGACGGCAAGGATAAGATCCCCGTGCCGGAGTTTTGGGGCGGGCTGAGAATTGTGCCGGATATGGTGGAGTTTTGGCAGGGACGGCCAAGTCGACTACATGATCGTTTTGTTTACCGGAAGGTTGGCGGGGAGGACAACACCGAGAAGATGAAGGGGGCAGAGTGGAAGATTGAGAGGCTGAGCCCGTAAGGAGGGAAGGCTCGCACTCAAGTCAGCTGTTTTCGTACTAGGCGGAGGGTCAGAAATCATCGCAAGATCAAACGTCAGATCGAAAGCCAACGGAAGTTAAAGCTACGGACAGAAGCATTGAAAATGCTATGGTATCATTCATTCCTTTTGATCATGCGATAAGTCATAAAGTATAGACAAGACGTTTCCCAACCGCTTAGACCTCTCCATATAACGCCGAAAAATGT